ATGGCAGATGTCCAGATCCGGAAAGGTCCATTGCGATTAGAGACATGCCGACGCCCACTAATGTGGCGATGCTACAAAGTTTTCTAGGGCTTTCAAATTATTATCAAGCGTTCATTAAAGGAATGTACAATTTAAGAGCTCCGTTGAATGAACTGCTAAAAAAAGACAAGGCATGGGAATGGACGGTAGAATGTCAGAAAGCCTTTGATGAAATAAAGAAAATGCTTACGTCCGACCTCTTTTTAACCCATTACAATCCAAAACTGGATATTGTAGTGGCAAGTGACGCTAGTTCATACGGGATAGGGCGTGTATTCAACACATAATGCCAGATGGTTCTAGAAAACCAATTACACGCTTCGAGAACTTTGCTCCCAGGAGAAAAAGTTACTCTCAGATAGAAAAAAGAGGCACTGAGTATCATTTTTTGCCATACAAAAATTTCACAGGTACATCCACGGCAGACATTTTATCCTTGAAACGGATCATAAACCACTGATCACCATTTTGGTTCAAAGAAAGGGTTACCCGTTTATACAGCAAATCGTCTGTTAAGATGGGGAACCATTCTTCTCAATTATGATTTTCACATAAAGCACCTATCATCCAAAAAGATAATTCATGCGGATAGTCTATCAAGACTAGTACCAAGGCAAGAAGAAAGATTCGAAGAATCAATTATTGCAAATATCAGAGCAGATTATGAGGTGAAAAGCATGGTAAACAACATTGTAAAAGAGAGCTACAGTTACGCTAAATGAAATTAAAAAAAGAAGCTGAAAGCGATGATTTCATTTAGAAATTAAAAACAAAATGGTAGCAAATGACCAAAAAAAGTGCAGGAGATTTTTTCAATAGGTGATGGAGTTTTATTATATGGTGAGAGAGTAGTAATACCAAAAAAAAGTTGCAGAAAAGAATACTTGGGACTTTCATATGGGTCACCGGGTATTAATAGAACAAAAAGCTTAATGCGAAGCTTTTGTGTATTGGAAAGGAATGGATGTGGATATCGAAAACATGGTTCATCGATGTAAAAGGGGTGTGCGTTAGCAGCTAAAGGCACCACCTATAGTACACAAACCATGGCCCAAGACGGATCATCCGTGGACAAGATTACACATTGATTTCGCTGGTCCAGTAGAAGATTTTTACTACTTAATAGTGGTAGATAGTTTTACAAAATGGCCGGAAGTACTACGCTGTAAAAAGCCTACGTCCAATACCACAACAACTTTTTTTGCATGAACTATTTTGCAGTTCGGTGTGCCAGAGTGTATTGTGAGTGACAATGGTACACAATTCACTTCTGAAGAATTTAAGGAATTTTGTGAGTTATATCAAATTAACCACATAACGACGCCTCCGTATCATCCGAGGTCTAATGGACTCGCAGAAAGATTTGTCGATACTTTAAAACGAGCTCTGAAGAAAGCCTCAGGAGTTCCAACGGAAAAGGCGCTTCAGCAATTCTTACAAGTATACAGAATCACGCCAAACCAGAGAACACATTCAAACATGGCACCAGCTGAACTAATGTTCGCTAGGAAAGTTAAGTCAGTGTTTGACAAGCTTTTGCCAGGAAAAATACAGTAAAAAATACCATGTATACAGCGAGAAAAAGATACACTCCCGGAGAGAAGGTGTTTTCAAGTGCTATAAAAACAACGTTGAGTTCTGGGAACGAGGCATAGTGGACAAGAGAATCGGTGACCTGATTTACATAATTAAAGGGCGAAGAATACTTATAAAAGGCACCAAAACCAACTTAAAAAAGATTACGGTATAGAGCAAGAAGAGTGTATACCGGATGAGGACGAAGATCCCATTGATATAATGTATGATATGTTTCAGGTAGAACCTCCACAGAATACACCTGAACCAAGAAGATCCGGTAGGAAACGGAAGTTGACGGACCCATTGAACGTGAATCCAAAACGAAAAAAATATTAAAATTAGGCAAATGGATCTACAAAGAAATAGCCATAATCATCAACCCATATAGGAAGCCAGTTTGAAATCCAAAAGGGATTCCAAGGCTTGGGAGGAGGTGTTGTTGTATGATACACCTAATTTACATAAGCGGACTACCGACCATATAAATATGGGTTGGTACCGGAAGACAGGGGAAGATAGTAGAGATTAAGAAATTGAATCCAGAGACTCTGCCCGACTGCGATTTAGTCAACCCATTATGCAGGAACAGTCTTCCCAAGAATATACCAAACTAACTGTAAATATTGTGTACCTATTCTTTGTTTCAATACATTTTGTTAACGTACATTTTGTGTTGTATTATTCCATGCTTATTTAAGCTTCAACACAATGCAAGGCAAATTGAGAATAATGAACTTTTTTCTTTTTTTTTTTTTTCTTTTTTTTTAAGAGATCTTTTTAAAAACTTTTTTAATTGTGTATAATTGAAATGCACTAATATTCTCTAAATAGAAAATGAATGATAGAGCCCAATTCTTAAGGCAAGAAGTTTGAGTATGAAAATTAATGAGAATATTTCCATGTAAAATTATTGAAGGGGATTTGATCAAAATGTTTAAATAAAAATTACAGTAAAATTTAACAAATCTGTTTTTGTATTCATTTTTTAAATTTTAGATTTTAATGGTGTTTTTTTTTATTATTATTATGCTACTAAAATATAAATGATAAAGTAAAAAAAAAAATTTAAGAGTAGTTTTAAAATTTTGTGTGTACAAAGTTAGTCTGGGCTCTTGAGCTGATGTTATTTGCAGAGTAGTTGCTATTCTGAAGACTATATTTGATGCTAATCATCATTTATGTCTAGGTCATATGATTTTTTTGATCAGTGTTGTAGGCATTTCTTTATGTTGCATAGATGAGGGAATTGAAGTTGAGGTATTATCTGATAGATTAGCTTGAACAGTTATCTTGAACCTCTTTTCTGTGTGATTACATCTCAGAAAGCCAACTGATTTTTTAGTTGCTTCTATTTTGAACTGGATTGAAAGTCTTACTGAGTTCACATAGTCCAGCAGTATTTGTACAGCTTCCTGGTAAGGCCAGTGTGTGAAAGTGTCATCTATGTATCTTGGCCATATGTCCTGAAGAAGGTTGAAATCTTGTGATAATAACAAAGATGAGGATATCAGCTTTAAACTGTTTTGCATTTAACAAATGTTATACTGCATGTTATTATATTTTAAACATAGTATATTTAAGCAGCAATCCTTCATTTAAACATGATCTATTAAATAAAACTTACAGGTATTTTAAACATTTTAGTGAGTTTTTCCTAGGGTCAAATAAGTCATTCATTATCAGGTGGAGACTTTCAAAATGTACTTGCTGAAATTGGTTAAAAGTACTCAAAATATAACAATGTTCATTTTCAAGGAAAGCCATATGAAGTAGACTTAAGAACACATATTAGAATATTACAATACATTGACAGTGAGGGACAGGAAATTGCTGTCACACCACTTATTAGCATGTGCTTGTGTGTGATGTTCAAAAATGTTGCCTATTGATTAGACTTGAAAAGTGTAATTTCTCTTGTTTCATATTTTGACAGACCAAATGCCTGTATAAATGATGAGGGGGTGCTTAAATTTTCACCCTGACCCACTTCTCAAAATGGCAAAACGTCAGATTATTTTTGATAATCCTTTGTTATTCAGCTTTCATATTTGGAAAGGTTGGTTCAAATCTTAACCGAGTTTATTTCCAAATGGAGTAAATATTCCTAAGTTGGACGTCTTTTGTTGTTCAAAATTTGCATCCACTATAAATATCTTTGTTCAGGAAAAGAATGAATTCATATAGAATATGAATTCATCTTGAATTCAGATATTCTTTTTAAAAAACTTGAATAGCCAAGATAGGCTGACATCAATCAAAAGCCAGTTTCCTTACCACTTTTTTTCCTATACTATGAAATAATTAATTTAAAAAACATAGTTGAGTATTTAATTTGTTGAAGTGCTTTTGTAATTGAGATCGTTCTAAAAATTATCAAAGTAACATTTTTACAATTTGTTTAAATTCAGTGTTTTATCTACAAAAATATCTAATGTCAAACCAAGGGAGCCAGTCATTTGGCTTGTAGTCTTAGTACTTGTAAGACCGATCACATCTACAATGCAATGGTCATTTCAACTATTTTCCAAATATAATTCAAGGCTTTAATAAAAGTCAAACTTGAAAAATGAATTAAATGCATGATTTGCTCTGTTCTTTTCTTTATTTTGGTCTTGTCTTTTTTCTCAATCTGAAATATTTTATTTACACTATGCTTTTCTCTCTCCCCTCTTTGATGCAACATGTGTTTTCACTCTGAGATTTTACTAATCTGTAAAGTATTTTGGTTAAGGGGGCTATGCATTCTTTTTTGTTGGTACAAAGGCAAAAAGAAAGAAAAACATTTTAAAATTGTCAATGTAGGTATGATTCTTTTAATTCATCCAATATATGTGAATATAAAAAGTAACTTTCTTGATAATTAACAATTACAAGAATTTATATAAGTATTTGTTTCTTACAATAATTTCTGGTGGTAGCAGTTTCGATTCCTTCACATTTTTAATTTTTATTACTGTCAGTGATACAAATAATTTATTATAATTTTATAATCTAATTCAATGTGCAGTCCTCAGTCCTTTCCTCCTCCGCTACCACCATTACAAAAATAGTTTTCATCTCTTCTTGTTCAGTAGTCATTCCAATTAAAAATACACTTAAATTTTTTTTTTCCTTAAGATCATTTTTTAATTTCTCCTTCATTTGGTGAAAATATTCTACCTGAATTGTCATGACTTTCATAATAAACACATTTTTTTTTCAGTCTCTTAAACTTACCTCTTTTTCATATATATATATATATATATATATATATATATATATATATATATTTTTTTTTTTTAAATAAATGACAAGCATCAACTCTTTTACACATGTTGAGACAAATGATGCTAACATGCTGATATATCTTATGACCTGGTAATTTCCCAATTGATTTATTTTAGTTATGCAGATGGCTTGGAGAGAAAGAAATCCTGAAATTCGAATTAGAGAAGCACATCGGGCATTGGAGAAAAACCCTGAGTGAGTTTTTCAGGCTGTGTAATTTTTTTTATTTATGTATTTTATTTTCCAAAAACCCAGCTGATCATTGAATTTCATGTATCCAATATTTAATGCTCTCAAGAATTTCTCTTATCAACTGTTTTTACTCCTACTTCCTTAGCAGTGCATTCTCATTTTCTCCTTATTTTGGAAAATGAGTTACCTTTCTGTCATTTTGTTTTTGCTCTACAATAATTCCAAGAAATGGACAATAAACATGAAGAAGTAGGGAGATAAATAGCTGTGGAGAATTTTGTTCAAGATAGTCAGCATTCTTTTGTTATAAACTGACCTTGTTAGTATTGTTTAATTTTTTTGAAAAATATTGCCTATTTTAATAAAACCCAATTATTCCCAATATCCACAGTGAATTGTTATCTTGGTAGCCTGATTAAGTATGAGTTTGATTACATTTTTAGTTCACTTGATATAAACAACTTTATTTAATCAGAGGTTCAGATAGTATCTTTGTCTGATAAAGGATAGTTAGTACTTATTTGATGCTGGTGTGCCTTATCTTGACATATACTTGAAGAAACACATCAAGATTTTTGTGTTATTGGAAAGGAATAGGCAATGGGTGTGGCATGCCTCCTTTTTTCCTTATATATAAGAACAGTAAGATATATAATCTGGTGTTCTTATATTTAGTGCTCAATGTAAATTTACAGAGCATTAATATTATAAATTGATTTATTTAAAATGTTTTTTTTCGCTACACAAGGTTTCCAAGGTTACAGAAAAATCTACTTCAACTGGATAAGGGGTGTCTGGGTGTTCATTATGTCTGTATTATTGTATCTGTTATTGGTAAGGGGGGGTGGGGATGTATTTTTCAATGAAATCTGACATCCAACCTTGGAAACGTGAATTATGATTTTAGCTGTGTCTTTAAAGCCCAGTAATCTTAAAAGTTACTCCAAAATTCGCTTGAGGATGAAATGGAACTAATGTCTTTAATTTAATTACAAAATTAAATTTGTAGCTTTTAGCTTCCATTTTTGAAACTTGGTTAGAACTGTAGCGAAAAAAAAAACATATTTTAAATAAATCAATTTATTATATATATATATATATATATATATATATATATATCCCGGAAAGGGATATCTTTGATTGAAGTAGCTAAGAGGGTTTGGCTACTGTAACCAAGTAGTACACGGTAGCAGTAATCGACTGGTACTCGTCATAGTCGCAGGTAATTGGTGTAAACCAATAGGGTAGCCAATGGCGTAGTTCAATGGGCATCATCAGAGACTTAAACTCTGTCATACCTACACGTCTCTGTATTTATGACGGACGCCAGCCAATCACATTCCAGTGAGGATGCATCAGGTATATATATATTATATATATATATATATATATATATATATATATATATATATAATTTTTTTTTTTTTTTTTATCTTGAACAATACCAGCTATAAGATAATACAGACATTCAAAAAAAACATTGTAGGAAGAAAAGGAACACGAAAGTGTGAGTTTTTCTGAATGGCAACTGCCTCATCAGTTGAAGAAAAATAAAGTTGACAAATTCCGAGATTGATCAGTTCTGGCATATTGACAAAGTTCAAAGCACCCTAACAAGTCTCTATGTAGTTTTAAATAGTTGGTTTATTTTTGCATAAATGTATCAAATAGCATCTTTTTCCTCAATTCTACTTCTTGGCAGCAGTACATGGTTGTTTGAACCTTGAATTGTCTGTTCACAACTAAGATGATTGTGGGTAGGTCAACATTTGTATATCTACAATAACTATTGATTGATTTTTTTTCTTTTTCTCTCACGCCTCTCTTCCTTATATATATACACACACACGTGTGTGTGTGTGTGTGTGTGACAGATTCCTCTTGATCTCTTCTCTCTGTCAACTTTAGCAGGTTCTCTTGAAATTTACTATGCACCTGTGTGTGTATATATATATATATATATATATATATATATATATAGAACTCAACTTGCCAGATTGTCACCAATAATGAATGATGCTTTGGAGAACTCATAATTTGAATTGTTTAGTCTTGCTTTTCAGAAGATAAAAACATTGTAATATTGCTCTAAGAAGAGTGCATTCTTACATTTACTGATAGCTTTGATTTGAATAACTTAATATATTATGGGTAGGATTTATTAAGTATGTCAAAACTTACATTTGTTTGCATGATTACATATATACACCATATTCTCTCAGTAAAAAAATGATTGCATTAGAACCTTGCATATATGCCAGTAACATTTCAGCAATTCTTATCACTGCTCATTGACTTTAACACTTATCTTCCTCCAATAATCGCCTCTCCTCACACACATTTTATTTTCTACTGTAACAAACTAAATATTTCTGGCAGTATGAAAGACATTTTTGCTGTTTTTGAACTGAAATTTGTTTTTATCAACATTCAATCTGTTAGGCTCTTGAAAATCAGGAAGAAAATTAATTTCAATGGTTGGGAATTAAGGCAAGCATGACTGATAAAATCATTTTATATAATTTTTAAGATTTATTTTTAAAGTTACATTCAAGTAAACTAATTTCTATCTTGTGTGTTTATGTGTGTATATATATAAAACCTACATAATAATTCAAATGTAAAAACAGTGACTTACTATATTACAAAAAAATCCTACTTAATAATTGATTAGAAAAAAACCTTTTATTTCCAGGTGTGCTACAGCTTTAATCCTCTTAGCAGAAGAAGAGTCACAATCTGTTGTAGAAGTAAGACTTATCCAATTTTTATTTTCTTCTTTCCACTTGAAAATGAAAGATTCCTTTTTTTTTTTGCTTCTTCAGCTAATTCTCACTAATTCTTGCTTTTCAAATTCTCATTTATCTATTAACCAAGGTCTTTTCCCCAACCCAACTAATTTCAAACAAAGCTTTGCAGGATATAGATATGCATAAATTCCTCTAAATAATTTCATAAAGATTGGATTATTTTTTAGGGACCAACAAAACTGTAGTCTTAAATCCAAAAAGGGTGAAGTTAATATATTTACTTTTTGCATTCATTTAGCCTGCATATTTTTTATTAAACTTTTCAACTGCAATGTATAAATTTTAATTTTGTTAGTAACTTTAAAAAATACATTTAAGCTCTCTTTTTTAAAAACAAATTATATTTTTTAACCTTTTCATTTTTAACAATTTTTCATATAGGAATAAAGTGTCACTGCTGACACTTTGGTTTGAACATGGATCACCAAAGAGCAAGCATAATCGACCTCATCAATTCAATTCTTTCCTCCAAGTAGAGTAGAACAAGACTAACCCTTTTGTATTACTGATTCAGTTTCATTTCTTGTAGCAACAAGAAAACAATCCCTCAGTCCATTCAATTGGAGGAAAATATTTAGTACAAACTTCTCGGAAAGATACAGGGATGTGTTGCTCATTTATTTACTCTGTAAGAAATTCATACATTTTAGATTAATAAAAAAAGAATCCGTTGTATACTATTAATTTTTCAACCAGTGCTGAAACTCTAGTCTCTTTTCCTAAGGAAACTGGTATCAACATGACATCTTCTTAACTGTTTACAACAAGCTTCACATAGTCTGAGAATTGCAATAAAAATGTTAAATTGAAAGAAATAGATTGGAAAATTAATAAAAATAAATGATATTTAATCTTAGAAATTAATAATAGTTGTACATTTTGCTTAATTAATCTGTGCTTGATATTCAGAAAAAGCTTTTGTTAAATTCTACAAATAAGTTTTACTTAGGCTTCACAAAATCATAACCTTTCTGATTTTTTAATTTTTATATTTTAACTAAGAATAATAAAAGAACAATTCCTACTTGATCATATTAATAAACATTATGACGCAACACAAATTAAATAGATTTTGAAGCTTCTGGCAAACTGGTTTTCTATACTTTGAAAGCAAAATGTAAAGTTCATGAAAGTTAAAATTATTCAAAATAGAAACATAAATCTATTGCTAAATCCTCAAAAAGAAAAGGATAGCAGGATCATGGTCTTTTCATTTCTTTTTTTTCATGTTTTGCCAATTTTTTTCCATGTGGAGTGATTTTTATTTGGCTCATAGTGTTTTGAATTATGGAAGTTGTCATGCTCCTGTAGAGTACTAGTATCATTGCTACTACTATCACCTAGTGAATAGCTGCACTTAAAAAAAAGAACTTTTTTTTAAAGCATTCTATTATCAAATATTAACAATGATAAAGCTGTGCTTTAAAACATCTTCAAATAGTGAATGATGTAGTCCTTATTTTTAGCAACTATTTATAAACAAAATTCTTAAGATGTGTCTACAATGCATTTTATAACAAAAAAAAAAAAAACTTAATTTTCATTAGTTCAGGATTTTAATATTTGGAATTTTATCAGAATATTAAAAAAAAATATTCAAATGCTATCAAAGCATTTTTAAAAAAATTTAGTGTGAAACCTTCTCTACCAAGTTTTTTTGCTTCTAATTTTTAACTATGAAATGTTTTTTTCCAGGCTGAAAAATTATTCAAACAGTCCTACAAAATAGCAGAAATTAATTATAAAAAATCTGTAAATGAGGCTCAACACCGTAAGTATTGTCACCATCTTGTTAGATTGAATTTCAAATTGATTAGCAAGCAAGTGGTGCAATAATCTAACATTTTTATTTTTCTGAATATATTATATACAGGAAATAAACTAAAGTTTTGAAGATAATTACAAATCTGAACTGTTTCAAAATTAATATCTGCTTTCCTAATTACATTATTTTGATAATGTGAGGCTTGTATGTTTGTATAATATATATCCTCCCTCAAGACAAAATGGATTCATACTTTTTACAAGGATATTTACATAAAAGTTAACATAAGACTTGACTGGAATTTGAATTCTGCTCACTGATTTCTTGTTTTGAGCTGCTAATTGCTATACCACCTGTGAAAACATACAAACACACATTTAAACATTTTATATTGTAGAAATTTATCTTTTCTTTTCTGTTTGATTTTTCATAATTTCATTTTAATTCCATTCTCACTGAGTGGTAAATATAATTTAATTTTTTAACAAGTTTTTACAGAAATTAGTTGGAAATGTTTTTATCATGCAATGCTGTCAAGTCAATGTTTATTTGCTGTAGTAAAAAAAATAATTTACAAAAATTGTTTTAAAAAATTCTTAAAAACATTAAAAAATTTTTTTTATAGTAAATACATTCAATATTTTATCTTTGTTTTTAAGGACGAGATACTAATGTGATAGTTTATATAAAAAGACGTCTTGCCATGTGTGCACGAAAGCTTGGCCGGACCAGAGAGGCAGTGAAAATGATGAGAGATGTAAGTTTTAAATAATTTTTACTTATGCAAAGTTTTAACACCATATTTCTTTTTATGTTTGAACTAAAAAAATTTTTGGGTGAAAAAAAAATATATTGTGTAATATTTATTCTTTAATCTTTCATATTGATGAATTTAAATTATTTCTTTATAAGAAGCTTTGTTTTGCTTATCAAGAAATTAAATTTTTTTTTTTTTTTTTTTTTTTTTTTTTGTTTTAAGGATTGTAAATTCTGAAATAATACTAATTATCTGAATCCATCAATTTTCTTTGGAAATTAAGTTATTTTTAATTTTAAATTAAAATACTTCTGGTAAAATTCAAGTTTGGATATTTTTTTAAAAATATCAAATTGCTGTTACTTATTCACTTTTACTTGTCAACAGAGCCTGACAAAAAAAAATCACACTGAGACTTGGATTCAATAAAATACAATATGGTGTTAATGAAAAGAATTTAATTTCATGCATGACTGATTTATCTACTGGCAATAAAACTAACAGTTTACTTAATTTCTCATTTTATTATTCTTTTATTATCATTATTCATTTGTTTATAATTATAGAAACAAACTATGAATATTAGCTACATCAAGAAATTTCTTCCACTCGTAGACTTTTATTTGTTGCAATGATTTATTTTAGAATTAAAGAGGTGGTATTTAAGAGAAGGTACAAACGAAATATACATATGCTATCAGAACAAGGGGAGATAATCTTTACACTAGTCATTGGACCAACTCTTATCCAATTTCTTTGGATATTTGCTTATTTAGATAATTAATTCAGTCATAAAAAATAAACGATACTTAGCATTTAAAGTAGAATTAAAGAGCTTGCATTTTTAATTTACTTGATAAAAGGAACTAAACTGATTTTGATTAAGAATGTTACAAATAAAATTATTATTTTTCATTTTAAACATAAAAATATAGAGCTAAAAATCCAAGGAATCTTGGTATAATTATAAAAAAAACAAACATTTGTGCACTGACTTCATCAAAGGTGCTAAATGCATGTAAATAAAGTTGATTGAGGTGGTGATCAATCGGTGGTAATGAAAATATCTAGGCACTTTTGCTTAAGGTGCTTGTGTGTTTTTTTTTTTTTGTTTTTTTTGGGTTTTTTTTTACCAGTGATAGCATGCATGGACTTAGTGATGTCAGCTATGCCTTGTGCTTTATACTCTTCTATGTAAACTTATAAATTGTCAACTTCATTAATTGGGATTACTGGAGGTGTTGGTATTTTTCACTTCTTGTCTACTTCATTTGTACTTTCTTACAAATTTTCTATGTTTATAATCTGATCATCACTGAATAGTTCTCGTGTGTATATATATATATATATATATATATATAGCTTTATTGTTAAATGTCTGAAAATGTTTTTAATCTTTTAGTTAATGAAAGAATTTCCCATGATGAATTTATTTGCAATCCATGAAAATCTCATAGAAGCTTTATTAGAGTTGCAAGCATATGCAGATGTTCAAGCTGTTTTGGCCAAATATGATGGTGAGTTAAAAATAGTTATTTTTCTTGCTTTTTTTTTTTTTTTTATCAAAATATTTTCTCGTGTGTGTATATATATATATATATATATATATACACACACACACACACACACACACACACACACACACACACACACACACACACACAAGTAAATACAGTGTGTAAATTTCTCTTGAGGATTTTGTAACAAATTATTTATCATCTCTCAGTTGTCTCTGTCCTTGGGCAGAATGCAACTCTGTCAAAGGACAGATTCACAACTGAGGAAAATTATACTCAGGTGCCCGGCCCTGTGGAACAGCTGCCCGAGGCTGTGCTTGCACTGAGGCTAGCACATCCAGCGGTTGTGGGGTCTGCGGGCAATTTTTGTTCCTAGCTCAGGTGTACACAATCAGGCTCTCCACATTAAATTAACCTTGTGTCACAACCTGGCCTCATGGTGTGGGTGGGTGTTGGTGGGGCTTGCTTGGGCATAGTGCACTCTGGGTAACTTGATCAAAGGACAGTTGCAACCAAGGAAAATTATACTGAGAGGATTCCAGCCCTGGGGAACAGCTGCCCGAGGATGTGCCCTTTCATTGCGCTAGAGAGGGATCGGTGCATGCACCAAGAACAGCACAATCGACAGTTGTGGGTGCTTGAGAATTTTTGTTCCTAGCCCAGGTGTACACTCTTGGGCTACCCACATTAAACTGACCTTGTGTCACAACCTGACCTTGTGGTTGGGTGGTGAGTAAATACAAATTACTATAGAGCTGGTTTTTTAATCTCGGAATTTGTGGGAGAATTGAGCTCCAATTTCGCATTTATTCATGTAGATCCCATAATATAGATTTTACTATGTTTCTCTAACTCTTCAAATATTGAATTTATAACTAATTTTAATTTCTATTTTCTAATCTTTACACTATAATAATTTTATTGTATAAATTGTCCCCTGTTTTGTCACCAGTGAAATAAAAATAATTGTATGGAAAATAAGGATCTACATACATAAAATCATCTTTAAATTAAGAATTATCATTGAACTTTTAAAAGGTAAGCTTAAACATTAATTCAATGCTTAAATGCAGCAATCAATTTTGAGTTCTATAATTTATTGATGCCTATTGCATTTACTCCCCCCTAACTATTGTGATGATGACCAGACAAAAAGTCCTCCACAGGTGCTAGTTTAAAAATTAAATAGGGCAGCTGCAATTTAGGATATAAAAGTAAATTATGAGTTGCTCCCCTTGACCCATGAAAGCAATGATAATTGCTTGTTTACTATATTAGTATATATTTTTAACGTCACATAATCTAGCAACGCTGAATCTGAGCTCAATGAAAATTGTTCCCCGTGCCTAACTTTTCTAGGGCTTTTGAATGAGCTATGAATCGTTGAAATCAGACTACTCGGAGCAGAGGAATTACTTGGGTGCACACATGCACAAACACTGTACTTATATAAATATAAACTAGTACTCATTCATTTTAGGAATTGTGTATAATGTATAAAGATGTACTCTTGTAGATTATTTTGGCAAAATGCCTAAATAGGATCAGAATTTTTTTTTTTTTTTTTTTTTAAATCAAACATTCCTATGTCTTATGATGGATAATAGAAAATATAAAAATGGATATAGGGAGAAATTAGTTATTTCAATCTTTGCACAATGCCAAAAGTTCCAGCAAAGTTTTATTCATTTTTAAAGAATCCATTTATTTATGATAAAATGTTTAGGAAGAGAAACAAAAAATAAATTTAAAAAAGGAGTTTTTTTAGTCAGCTATATCTCCACACAGACAAGAAATTGCATATTCACTGTTAAGGATGATCCAGTAAAAATATATGGCTTTAATACTTAAAAAGGGAAAAATAAAAAATGTATTTATTTAACAGTATTTAGTATAAATTACAACATAAATTATAAACTAAATTGCAAAATTATAAACTTTTTAGTTGTCTAATATGTGTGTAATTCTTTGACTCCCATGGTCACAATATTATATACCAAGCAAAGCTCACTTAAATTGTGAAGGGAGATAATTTCGTAAATATTTTGTCTTGCATCATCTTTTAAAAATATACTTTTCCTTTTCACCTATTGAAATCTTTTTGTATCTTTCACATTAAGTTCCATATATTAGAATCTCTTGCTCTCTCAAAAAATTCTTCAAGATATGCACCTCCAAATTTTCATATTGTGTCCGTGGACACTCCATAAATAAGTAAAAAAAAAAAAAAAAAATGAAGTACAATTAAGTTGCCGGTCTACTATGCAATGAACAGCTAGCATAACTATCATCACAGAAAATAGAATCCACAAGTAGAGTTGAAGTTTTAGCTTATTCTGTTTCCTTCATTTTCATCTCTAATGCTTTTGGAAAAGGTATCATTTTCAATGCTAAATTGTTAAATAGCAGAGTAGACTGGATTCTAGCTTTGGATGGTAGTCGGTCTAGGAGTAGGACTACTTACTATGAATTCAAATTTCTGAAGAAGGCAACAGGGAAACTACTCTCTTATCAATGCACAGATAGAGAAAAGGAATTTCTGGAAAGTCGTGATCACCCATTTTTTTTTTCCATCTGCACGAAGATTTCCTCTTCAGGATGAACAGATCTGCCTTTTTGTTTTTATAGATATCAACTTACCAAAATCAGCTACAATTTGTTACACAGCAGCTCTGCTAAAAGTCAGAGCAGTTGCAGACAAGTGAGTATTTTTTTAAAAATCTCATCCGGGATTAAAATATTGGCAGACTTGGACCTTTGTGCCCACACAGAAATCTGTCAAAAGAATGTCTTTTTGGGGTCTTATTTTCCATTGATACCACTATTATTTTAACTGCCTTCACTCCTTTGGCAATGTTTACTGTTTTAAAAAGTGATGATTAGAATTGCAATAAAACCTAAACATATGAAAGTGAATTTATACATTTTCTTTGTTCTTGAGAATTGACAACAAAAATAAAAAACAAAAGAACAAAAACTATTAGATTGTTAGCAAAACTTTGGCTAATTGCCAATTGATTCAAACTTTATAAAATGGTAAATAAGGATTTCCTTATAGTGGCTCACATATTTTGATAATTTAGTAAATGTTTATAAATTTATGAATAAAAAAAAATTATCTTCATATTTATTTCTTTATAAATTGGTAAGTGATAAATATTGCATTAGTTTTGTATTAGTTTTTAGAATGTTGTAAATATAAAATTATTCTTGTAAGTAAACCATCTAATAAATAATTGATTAATATTTTTGTCAGTTCTCAAGAACAAAAGTATAAATTCACTTTCATCATATGTTTTAGGTTTTATAACAAATCCTCACTATTTAAAACAAACATTGCTGAGGAGTGAAAGTAGTTAAAATGATAGTAATGTCAATGAAAAAAAACATCCTTTTCACACTTTTTTTTTTTTTTTTTTTTTTGGCGCAAAGGTCAAAGTTTGCCAAAATATTTTTCTGCAAAGCAGCATTTACAATATGTCATGTGAAGTAGATATCATGGATTGCTACTTATACACCATCCATTGTCATAGATGACTGATGTTTGGCCTTTTGAATCTCATTGTAGAATTTCATCCTAAATTCTTATTTTTGTATCAAATACAAAATGTATCTTTTTTACAAATGTATAAATAATTATAATCCTCAATAGCAATTATTTATTTCAAGAATCAATTATGAAAAATGCCGACTGCTCAAAAAACTTTTTGATAAACATTCCCTCTTGTATGCATGTCATTATTTATATTCCTATAACTGATGAATGTTTATCATATGTACAGAATGTTCTTGAAGCTGCTACCACAATAGTAGGGAAATATGGTATTTGTTAGTTTAAAATTTTATTGTTTTCTGTCTCTTAAATTTATGTAGTTAGATATTAAATTTACTACATAATCCAATCCAATTTTTTTTCTGTGTTTTGTATTTTGTTTTAATCTGTGCCTTTCAATTTGTTTAGATTTTCCCCAGATGTGGCATCAAAACGAGGCCTCAGCACAGCAGAAATGACAGCAGTAGAAGCAATACACAGAGCTGTGGAATTCAATCCGCATGCACCAAAGGTAAATGGCAAATCATTCAATGTACTTATAGATATTTACTAAGCTTAGTCCTAAGTGTAAGTAATTGTAAGTAATAATATTCAGAGTAATTTGCTAATCATGACAAGGTACTTTTGTTAGTTCTTTTTTTTTTTTTTTTTTTTTTTTTTTTCATAATTCTGAATTTGATGAGGTTATTGGTTTATTCAATTAGCATTAGTAAAATAGTTTAACTCATAAACAAGAGAATTAATATTTTCATAATTATAATTTATTAGAATGTTAATAAATGTTCTCTTGTAGCTTTCAATTAAGCTTCTATATATCTGCTATCACTTCATTTCTGGTAAGTTTCTCTGTTCCTACTGTTTTAAAACAACCCCAGAAATGGATGTGTCTACAACAATGATTCACTGCTGGGATGGTAGTTTTTACATCATTCATTGTCCTTTTCTTCTCCAAACATAACCCTGCTAGTTATATTCTAAAAGTTCAATTTTTGTTTTGTCTCAGCAAATAGCTGTATTCCAGTAATCATTTGATTTATCCAAAAACTTTCACTGTTCTTAAATCTGTGCCGATATACTTTATGCTTAGTGGTGAAACTTCCCTTTTGGATTTTAATCACTCCCTCCAGTTGAATTCTTTCTTGGATGCCTTAATCTTGTTATTGTTGAAACAATACCAATTTCTTAACATTTATAAATGATTAATATAAAACCATAGAATAGGGTATGTCGAACAAATTGAAAATTATTCCTAGTTTATCAAAACTTCAGTCAATATATTTTGGAGTTCATTTAAGTGCTTCTTTGTTTTTGTTATAATTTTAAAAAATGAATGAATATTTAATTTGTAAAATAAACTTTATATGATCCCTCTAAAGTGATGTTGAGCATATGCAGACATTATAAAAATGTTTCAATTTTAGCTGTTGTTATGATCCATCTTTGTGCTAAGTTTCATTTTTCACTGGGGAGGGGGGGGTTGAATGCTTATGCAAAATTTATTACTGCTAATTGTAGAAATAAAGTAATAATTCTCACTTGTCAGTTCCAACATTAAACTGTTTTACTAATGCCATTTGAGTTGATAAATGTCATCAAATTTGAAATGATTTTATCAGAAAAAATAAAGGAAATAATCTTGGTCTCAAATAGTTTTACTTTTTAGTCGCTTTTTGATAATGAAAGACAAATGTAATTATCTTAATGGAATTTTCATCATTTCTATGCAAATGACAAATGTTTCTGTTGCATTTGATGGATTAATGTAAATTTGCTATTTACCTCAAATATTTATGCATCCTTTTGATGTTAAGGATTTTCATTTGAATCTCATCAGTTATTTTTTTTCTTCTGAATATTTCTAATTTGTTTACATATCATTTTGTTTTGTCATTGTAAAGTGGGAGTAATTCATTAAAAGTTCTGAAAATAACTATTGTCAGTCTCTGTTGGCATAGATTGTCACAGATATATTCTTTGCCCTAAGCAGGTTGATACATTAAGTGGGTTGCAATGCTGCTTCTGCTACTCCTATTTCTGTAATAAACAAATTGACTGATATGTTAAGAACAAAGACAGTTGTTGATGATATGAAAGATTAAAATAACTGCCAAGAGTTGTGCCTTTTGTGTGGCCTAGTTGGTAATGTTCTTACATAAAATAAAAGTTCAAATCTTGCAGAATTTGTTCTGCATTTTCAGAATTTGTTTGAATTTGTTAACTGAAACAAAATGTTGAGTTAGATAAGATGTGTAATTAATTATTTTGTGATATCTGAAGTGTTATTAAGCAGCTGATAAATTATAGTGGCTTTATATAATTGCTCAACAGAGAAAAAAGGAAAAAGAAATGTGCCTTTTACTGTTTGAAATTGTTAGCAGGTAAATCTTTAAAATCTAAAATTATTTCACTCTCTTTAAGATATTAGTTTGATCAATTATTAACTCTTATAAACATCTGGATGTGAAATTGGCTGATTATTATTCTAGACTTTTCCTTATTTCAAACATTTTAAATGAACTTACTGTCACAGTAACTATAAGGATTGATGCTTATAACAAGGAAAATGTTTCCGTTTTTTTTTCTTTTTTCAAGAAATATAAAAACTAAACCAGTTATGACACTTTTAAATGTTTTCCAATTTTTTTTTTCCCAGTATTTGCTTGAAATGAAAAGTTTAATCCTTCCTCCAGAACACATTCTCAAGAGAGGTGACAGTGAGGCCATTGCATATTCTTTCTTTCATTTGCATCACTGGAAACGGGTGGAAGGTGCCCTCAACTTGCTTCATTGTACCTGGGAAGGCAGTAAGTTATCTTGCTTCTTTACCGTTCAATCTATTTATTGAAATTTCCCTATATTTATCTTTTATTAATTAGGCTGGTCATTATGCTCTCTGAGAATTAGAATCTCTCTTCAATACTTAAAAAGAATAATACACTGAGGGGAAAATTTATTAAATACCATATTGACCAGTTTATAGATATGGTTTACAAATGTATTAGAGGAACACATGCTAATAGCAATGCATCCAAACACTATAACCATCTCTGAACTCTGTAATAAGTGGAAAAAAGGTAAACTCTTAAAAATGATCAAAATGAAATTGAGTTTATGAAACAATTGTAAATAATATTTGCACAATTTTGCAAAAATTGGGAAATTTCGAGTTTAGTACTGGCCAGCTTCTTGATTATTTTTATGAGGGGCTGAAAAAATTTCAGTTCAACCTGTTTTTCAAAATCCATATTTTAATTGTCAAATATCAGAATATTGATTGTAGGAAGTGAGTTATACTGAGAACTTTTCAGCACCCTCTCATGATAAACATTTAGTTAGTTTCCTGACAGCTAACATTGCATGAGAAAAATTTCAAGAGTTGGCTTTCAACAGCCATGTCTAACACTATAGAAAATAAATGCTGAAAAAATATTTAATAAATGATATGAAAAAGGAAAAACAATGAAATGTATGTTTTTTTGATCTTGTTCCAGCATTCCGAATGATCCCATATCCATTGGAGAAGGGGCATTTATTCCATCCATATCCCACTTGTACAGAAAGTGTTGACAGGGAGTTACTTCCTTGTAAGTATAAACATTTGAAAAATATTTTATTTCTTCAATAATGTTCTTAGGATATTAGGATCAAATTTGTGTCACTCCAAAGAGGATAAATTCACATTTATACAAGATAAAACAAAACAGCATCAATGTAGGATTGTTAAATAAAGAGCAAATATTTTTTAATGCAAGAATGCATGTCCTTTTTCTATGAAATAGTACATTATAATTTTGCTTTAATAGAATGCTTGTAGAAAGAAAAGTAACTTTTTTTTTCTCCTTCTTGTCTTACTTTATTTGACACCATAGATGTAATAAACAAAAATAAAATAAATTCTTATAAACTGAAAATATTTAAAAGCTGAAAATTGATACTAATCTAATTCTGAAGTAAATTTCTGTTCCTTAAAGAGAAAATATTAAATTTTTAATCAATTTCTGCTGCTAATGTTAGCAGTTTTGACTCTCCATCAATGAAACTAATATAAAGTTAATTTCCACTTAAAAAATATCACTATAGCTCCTCCTTAGTTAAGCAGAATCAAATCCCATTCAGAAGTAAAATGACTTTTGTTTGTTTGCATCATTAATTCTTTTAAAAAATTAATTTTATTTTTCTCTTATATTGATGTAAGTAGATTATTCTATACCTGAGTTTTTTTGGACATACATTTCTTTTTTTTCATATTGGAAATTATCTTCATAAAACTATTTTACATGCTACAAATATTTGTAAAATTGTTAAAGCAAACATATCAGTGACCTAACATAAATTGTTCTGAATCGTTCAAAAAAAGAATTCTAATTTGAATAATTTTATTTTATCAGCATTTCATGAAGTGTCTGTCTATCCCAAGAAAGAGTTGCCTTTCTTCATCCTCTTCACTGCTGGTCTGTGTTCATTCACTGCTCTTCTTGCTCTCCTTACACACCAGTACCCAGAACCCATGGGAACTGTTGCCAAAACGGTAAGTGGACTTCAAGAAAAAACCTAGCCATCTTTTAGGGCATTCTGTTTTTTTTCTCTCTATTTTTCTGGTAGACAAGAGTGGATCATTAAGTCTGTAACCTGATTTTAGCTGAATTTTGGTATGAAATTTTCACTATTTTATCTCTGGCTAATATTCTCCTTAATTATACTAAAGATATTTGTTGTTCAAAATAAATTCTTTATTTCATCATTAGCTTGTAAACTTATCAATACATGGATCTGTTGCCTGGTTATCACAAAGGAAAACTTATTCTACTGTAATCAAGGCAAGTTATTGCCTGAGAGCATCACCTCATTCTGAAATTGACAAGATATCCTCTCAGATAAGAAATATTGTATTTAAATTCTCTTATTTCAAGTTATGGGTTGAAAGCTTTAGTAATTATACTGCTTACAATTTGAGATAATGACAAAATAAAGTTTAATAAAGAATGAGTGTTTAAAAATAATAGATGAAAAGAAAGGATTAGCATAAAAATTCCCTATTAAACAAGTAAAAAAAAAAAAAGTCAGTGTAACAGGGGCTGAACTTAAAAGTAGCAATTGTAATAATCTAGAAGAAAAACCAATTCCATGAAGGACATATAATCCTTCTTCAATCAAAATATGAACTTTAATCTATTTTTCTATCCACTTACAGGTCTTAGGTTGGCTGTACCTGCCAGTCAGTTACATCATTGAGAACCTTGAAGCCATTCTTCCTTCCAATTTGCTCCACCAACTGTCACGGATCTAAGCAAAGAACACTTCCACTCGTCAATGAATCCACCCACGCCAAGTAACAAATAGCAGCACCCACCCTGCTCAGTTGTTACAGCACTGGCTTTTACCATAACTGTGACAATGATAGAGATAACAGATTTCTCCTCTTCCTCTTGGCACAATTACTCTTATAACTCCATCCATGTGTGGGCATATTTCTCCTTTATCTGTTCAAGTGATACCTGTGACTCTTGGCCACTGGGCAGTTTGCCTTGGGTCTATTCCTTTTGCTTCCACTGTCAATAGCACCAGTGCATCTACTGAGCAACAAATAGTAAAGATTTTTATTGGACAATGAAGACACAAATGACAGCATCACCTTTTGGCAAATCTGGACACATCATCTGTGGCCTGTCTACATTAAACAGACATACACAAACATTGAAGCTTTATTTATGACTTGTGGGTAAGAGAGTAATGAAAGGCAGAAAACAGTTACCTATTTATTAAAAGTAGGGCTGCATTTATAAACAAACATTTTTCAACATGCATATATACTGAAAATATATTGAAAAAAATGCATATCGAAGTGCTTGTAAATCATTCCATAGAACATCTACATAAAATAATTTGCATAAATATTAAATGTGATTAAAGGTAATACAAACATACGTAGATATTTAGTTGAAATACGCAAGCCCTATAATAACAGTATGCTTGTAAATCATTGTTAATGATTTCACTTTCTGTCAAGGCCGTGTAGTAGGCTAGAGTAAGTTTATAAAACGATATGTAAACAGTTAACTGAAATATTGATTTTTGTCAGGATATGATATTGGGTGTATCTTTTCATCTCCAAGTAAACCTGTTACAGTGTGTCTGCATGTTGATTGAAGACAAACATCAAAATCAAAGCAACAGAATCTAATCTTCATGTTTACAATAAAATACAAAAATAAAATCAAGCTATGTAGGCACTTAGATTTTTTTTTCTGTCTTTGTACAGACATAAATACACAGACTATTTCATTTTAATGCATATGAAATGTTACACACTTGAACTTGAAAAATACCAAATGAAAATCACACAAACCATTTGAAACTGTAACTTGAAGCAAACAAAAATGTTTATTTGGTCAGAAAAGCCAAATTATTTGATGTTGAGAACTGGAAAAAAAAACAAAAAAAAAATAATTAGACATCCATTGTTGATGATGTCATTTGAATATTTGTTCTGCTCTTGGTTCATTAAATTGTGCCATAAGCAAGAAATGTTTGCAAAATTTGATTTGTTTTATTTTGATATCTTCATAAGTCACACAACCTTTCAATCTTTTTTTGATTGGATTGGAGAGATAGATATTATTTTTCCTTATTGCTTAATCAGAGAGTGTAAACTTGTCGTAAGCTGAGAAAAGTAAATGGTTATCAATATCTTCTCTAATACTCTGATTTTCCTGTAAATAAATTGTAACTTATACCCTGAAGACCCTATCATCATAAACCATTTTTGAGGTTTGCACTTGAATGATTTTAAAGTTTATCATTATTTACCAAATAGAACAAATAATGAGCATGATGAACAATTTAAGGAGTAAAGTGAATGCCAACAGACTTTCTTAATTGAGCTAATCTCTTTAAGTAGATAGGATATTTAAACATTGTTATGGCAAAATAGTTGATAACAATTTCTTTGAAGCTGTAACTAATAAAATTAATGATAATCAACTCAAACAAGAAGGCTAGTGATCAAGAAGGGAAGAAATTGAAACTTTAAGAATTTTTCAGATACCTAAACCTGTTATGAATAATTATTACCAGGATGTAAAACAAGAATACTTTGGAGAATTTTTTCTTTGTTAGATTTAAGCAATGTCCACCAAACAGATTTCCCTGCTCAAAACTGCCACTGTTTCTCACCCAGCAAAAAACAAAAAATAAAAATAAGTCTATTTCCAAGAAAAAAAAGCTGGTCTGTAAGAAGAGTATGGCATTAGCAAAGTTTTAGAAGAATACAGGCATAATCTCCATCTGCTATATAGGAGGGGAAAACAAAAAATAACTTGCAGAACTAATGGGGCCTTCATAGTGAGAAGGCTGAGAAATACTTGTAACTTCAATTAATATGACTAAAAATGGCTTGAGACATGCAGGTTAAAGACAAAAATGTCTCCTTGCTCCCTAAAACATAATCTACTTATAGAGTTAGATAATAGTTAAACAAAACAGCAGCAAAGCAATGAATGCCCCCTCCTACTACACACCATTACCAAGATTGCAAAGCTACTGAAATGGAACATTTCTGCTTACCCTATAAAATCAGGTAACTCTTCTAATGAATAGAAAGATAAGCCAACTATGAGGAAATCCAAAAGTCAGTTGTTTAAATAGGTAAATATCTTCATATAAGATCTACTTACCTGAAAATTGCCTTTTTAGAGCCTTCAAAAATGGTGTATCTTCACAATGACATAGGAAATTGTCACTAGCTTCAAGTTACCAGACCTAAAATGGTGAATCCAAAAGACTCTGGCCTCCAAAGATGTGCATATAAATTTGCAGAATCAACTTAGATTTTATGGATACACCAATGTTATTGCTTGTGATTTAAACTTGAAAATTCAAGTCTTTTATTTTGTTTGGCATCTTGAGTAGTTTTCCACATCAGAAATGCATGTTTCACTCAACCTGGGTGGACCCTTTTCAAAACTTTCATTAACATATTCAATGCTTTATAGATATGTCACAGTCCTTTTAGCAAGTAAATCTCCCCATTAACATTCATGGCTGAAATTAGTCTAAATTGATTTATTACTTTTGATTCAGCCTCCTTCAGTAAGTATATGGTCTCTGCCCTGCACCATTCATCAAACAGATGCCACTCCCATCACAAATCTTGCTTCTTAAAGCAAGAGCTTTTATTTAAGTTGTTCATAATGGATCACTTTTTGCCTTTGATTTATTGTTTTTCTCAATCTCTAAGCTGGAATTTGATTCCTGGCTTTGTTGGATATTTTAAGCCTTTGGGTGGTTCATCAGGTTTAGGATCACTGTATGTCTTTTGGATGGAACTACCAAGTTCTTCTTTAGTGCATTTTAGGTTGCCATTTTTTGCTTTGGCAAAAAGCTTCCTAGTAGCTTTCTTAAGAAAGTAGACTCTTGCTTATTTGCTTTTTTTTTTTTTTTTTTTTTTTTTTTTGTCATTCTAATCTCTTGTTTCTTTTAATGTCAAAACACTTTTGCAAGAGATCTTATACAGAACTCTCAAAAAGACTTTATTTTTTTTGTTTAGTTATGTAATTTTTTTTTCCTTAACTTTTCCTCTGCTTCATCTTTATTTCACACCTTTTCTGGAGGGTTGCTTTTTGTTACACCCTACCTCCACTACAACAAATAACTCTGCTCTAATCAAATAAATCATTCAGTCGAGATTTTGTTTTCTCTGAATCTTTTATAGATCTTTTTGGCAAATAATTTCTTCAAATTCCTACTAGCATGTGTTGTTTGTTTTTTTTATTGCCAGCAAACCACAGGACTTTGTTTTATTGGTTTCATCTCAATCAAAGAAGTCTCAGTTTGTTTCCATTCCTATTTAGAAGCATCTATCAATCCACTATATTTTGACTACTGGAACAATTTGCCACATGATTGATGATCTGATGACCTACACTACTTTGTCAATTTGCTCTGATGCATCTTCAGCCATTTTTTTTAATTTTTTTTTTTTTTTTTACATAAATGGCCTGTTAATTAAAAGTATGTCTTAAAATCAGGAACATTATAATGTAGATTTGAACAAAGATATTTTTGTTTGTTAGCACTATTATATATCACCCTGAACATGTGGGAGAAATTCCATGTTTCCACTGTCTTGAATTTCCAGAAAGGTTCCTGTGCAGTTTTTTTTTTTTTTTCTTTCTTTTAATGGTGTGTTGGCCTTTTAGCAAAAGATTGTCCAAGAGGGGTATGGTTTTAGTGGGTCATAATTTGACCTGATGTGACCATCATATTTAGATTAAAGGTGCTTTGTCTAATTTCCAGTTGGTTTTTGGAGAGATCTTTAGGCACATCAGAATTTTCTTTATTACCTTACCTGGAGGTAACTATTAATGTGTGGTATTTTTGTAATTTAGCAGAAGTCTATGATGATATGACAATTTTCAGAAGGGAAGACTGGTTGGTTGTGGAATATGATGAACATTTAGGTGAGGGAAGAGTGATTGATAAACCCAGTCTATCGAACTATTTAACTCTTTGCTGGAGGACGAGAGAAGAGATGGTTTCAAAACTTTTCAGAAATCATAGTATGAAATGAACAGAACTGACTTTGTCATAACTTTAATTTGGCTTGCTGATTTAATTTTCTGTACTGATAACCCCTACCAACACATCCTAAATGAAAATAAATGGAATAGTACTTTCAATGGAGCATTGAATATATTAACCTATGGTACCTAGACTGTATGAATTTAAGCACAATACTACACTGGCAGTGAGATCTCCTCATCAATTTACAGTTGAGCTAGCTGGATGTAGCTGTAACTTCTATGCTGACAGTTTCTTTTCTTGCACCTCTCATCTGTGGAACTCCCTTCTGGCCCCTATGCTTTCCAGTCAACTTTGCATTTAAACTTTTACAGATTAATGTTAATTGTTGTCTACTGTTCTCCTGATTGCTCATTTTTCTTTTTACTCATTACTAATGTTTCTGTTCCTAATTCCTCCAAACCCTGTGACCCCTTGCTTGTTAGTGGCTGTACTGCCTTGCTTGAAGTGATATCAGTTTTTCTTTTTTTAGCTGTTTGATCAAACACTTCCAAGAAACTGGCTCAGTTGCTGACTGTGACAGAAGAGTGCAACTGATGAAGAAATAATTGCCATGGTTATGGCGAATGTTGCTAAAAGCCCTGTGAAATCAGTAAGGAGAATAAGCCAGGAGCTAACGATTAGTTCATCAGTGCATCATATTCTCATGACTCACAAATTTACCAGATCTATCCCTCCTTGACTATTTCTATAGGGGACATCTCAAAT